CCACTCTCACTATCAACTCCTCCCGAAAAAACGTGATTTCCTCAATTGTTTGCAGCCCTTTGAGGTTATGTTCCCCCCAAAAAAATCTCCCCGATCCCCAGAACCACAAAAAGCCCCAGAATAATAAAAAAATAGTACGTACCAATGATAGACATTTTGCTCGATCAAATGCACCGACAAATCCTCGAAATCTCGAATCAATTCAACATTTTCGGGGACGAAAACTGCGGGGCGCGTGAGAGCGACGCGACAAAGTTAGACCAACACACACATGACGTAATGATACGAACCTTATTGATGTCCCAGGGGCCAATGGACGCGCGAGTGTCCTTTGATAAATTCGGTGGATCGTAAATTGCGGGTTGAAATTCGATTTGTGAATTTTTTAATCGCTTTATCGCTTTTGTGGCTTTTTGCGCGTTCGATTATTCGGGGCCGGTGAGCTACGGTGTTCGGGACGCGAGTCGCGTGTGGTTTGTGTTCCTTCGGGGTTTGCGTGGCCGTTTGAGGGCTTGCGGGGCGACGGCTGCCATTGGTCTGCACGGCCCTGACGATTTTTTTGGGAAATTGCGAGTTGGGGGAGAAGAAGGTAATATTAGCTGTTTTTAGTGAGCTATTACTTGGGATTGGCAGAGTGAAATTCAATATTTTTTCTTTCGTTTTGAGGGGATTTTTTCAGAGCTTAAAATGAGACCTGATTTATATGAATTGGATCATTTAGTCGGGAGATATTAATGATTTAAACAGGAGATTTTTTTTTATTTTTTTTTGGGAGAAGAATGTAAAATTAGCTGTTTTTAGTGAGCTATTACTTGGGATTGGCAGAGTGAAATTCAATATTTTTTCTTTCGTTTTGAGGGGATTTTTTCAGAGCTTAAAATGAGACCTGATTTATATGAATTGGATCATTTAGTTGGGAGATATTAATGATTTAAAAAGGAGATTTTTTTCTGATTTTTTTTGGGAGAAGAATGTAAAATTAGTTGTTTTTAATGAGCTGTTACTTGAGATTGGCAGAGTGAAGTTCAATATTTTTTCTTTCGTTTTGAGGGGATTTTTTCAGAGCTTAAAATGGGACCTGATTTATATGAATTGGATCTTTCAGTCAGGCGATATCAATGAGTTAAGAAGGAGTTTTATTTTGAATTTTTTCTTTGGGGAAAGGAGGGTAAAAATAAATCTTTTTAATGAGCTATAACTTAAGAGTGAAATTTAACAATTTTTTTTTTCATTTCGAGGGAATGTTTTCAGAGTGTAAAATGCAACTTGATTTAGGTGAATCGGATCATTTAATCAGGAGATATCAATGATTTATGATGGATATTTTTTCTTTTGGATTTTGTCTTAAATGAGAGGAGGATAAAATGCAATGTTTTTAATCATCAAGAAGTTGAGGTTGGGAGAGTAAAATCCAATAATTGTTTTTTTCATTTTGAAGGTATTTTTTCAGAGTTCAAAATGAGACCTGATTTATATGAATCGGATCATTTAGTCAAGAGATATCAATGATTTAACAAGTTTTTTTTTGGGGGAAGAAGGTAAAATGAGAGGTTTTTAATGAGGAATTACTTGAGATTGGCAGAGTAAAATTCAACAATTTTTTCTTATTTTGAGGATATTTTTTCAGAGCTTAAAATGAGACCTGATCTATAAAAATTTGATCACTTAATCAGGAGATATCGCCGATTTAAGAACATTTTCTGCGCGATTTGCTCCTGACTGTAATTTTGCATTTTAGAAGTTAAGATTTATCTAAATAATGAATGGGTTTAGGGGAAAATGTCTCAGGAACTTTTTGCAGAGAATTTAATTCCCAACAAAAATGTCTCACAATGTTTTTGTCTAAGATCACTCATTACTGAGATACCACCGTATTTAACAAAATGTTCTGCCCTGATCTGTCGCTTTTTTCCTCTTAATTAATGAAATCCCATTTAAATTGACGGCCATAAAAATAATGAGAGCTTCTCTCCAGGTGTAATGAGTCCACAAATGCGTCCTTGACGAGTTTCATTACCTTTTCGCAAGAATTTTTAATAATTAATAAGCGAAATATGAAAGACAAAAAATTTATGTTGATAAATTCTGCTCAATTGTTTTTTTGTACTTAATTATTGATAAACCGTGCTTAACCTAATCAATTTCTCCATTGATTCTACAGGATTGGTAACCTCAGCACCAACTCTGACCCACATAATAGAATTACTAACCCACTGAAAGAAGATTTCGTTGGGAAAACATTGGAATTTTGTTGGAAATCGTTGAAGAACTGGAGACGACCAATGGATCCATCAATCGATCTGCTTTTCGATTTTAGCAATCCAGAGGTCGATCGGGTGATCGATCTCGTGTTGTCGAAAGGAAGGGTTTACGTATGGAGTGCTGAGGGTAATAAATTATAATAATTCAATTTTTAATTCACATAAAATCAAAATCATCAATTTTAACATTTGATTCACTGATAAAATAATAATAATCAGAATAATAATAAATAAAAAATATTATTATTATTAGAATAAATAATGCTTATTATAAATAATAATAATAATGATAATAAATATTATCATTATAACAGTAATATCCCATATGTATTCAGAAAATGATTGAGTTTATTCATTTCTATTTGAGAATAATAATCTAATTAGTCTTTATGTCTCAAATTTATATATTTATCTGTGGATTACAAATGTCGGGGACGACTCGAGTAGCGAAGTTGTCAAACGATTTAAGTCAATTTAGTCAGTTTAGTCAATTTAGTTAGTTGAGTTTTTCAGAAATATTTCCAAATTTACGGGAGATAGAGAAATTTTTATAATAACATTTTTTGTAGAGCGAAGTGAGTGCTACTAAAAAGGTTGTGAGAAAAAATTTGCTATCTCCCTTAGATTTCGAGATATTCATTGAAAACTGGCCAATAGCCAAAATCGTCTTAAACTGTTTGACCACTTTGCTACTGAATTGACTCACCGAATCGGCAAAATATATCTATTGTTTTTAATAGTACTTTTGGAATTTTTTTCTTAAAAAACGAAAAACATTTTTCTCCGGGATGAAAATTCCCTAATTCATGGCTTTTAGCAAAATTCATTGAATGATTGATTTTTTAGATTGGCTGACCCTCAGACAGGACTACCGAATAATCGGAAACCTAGTGGGCTGTCTCCCCAAACTCCCCAGGCAAGAGATCCTCCTGGGTTTGCCTCTTCTCCTCCTCCCGGAAGAAGCTAATTTTCTCTTGGAGAAGAGAATCGCCCGACTGGTGGCTTACTCCAGCCTGCAGCAGGAGCCCACTGAAGCACTGGTGAACAAATTGCAAAAGTATCGAGAGAAATTATTCCGCGAACAGAACGAATGCCTCAAGAACGAGAGAGTCAAAATGGTAATTCAAGTGATCTGACTCCCCATTTTTTCCTAATTCATCGTAATGAATCAATTAAGCATTCGATGTGATCAATTAAAAAATGTTAACATTTTGACTGTAGATTGAACTCCAGATGGACAAAATCATCGAGGGGAAGAGGAGGAAGTTGTATGGACTGGAGACGTCGAAGAAGAAATTGAAGAAACCTCTGGATAGAGACACGTCTGAGGCTATCCAAAAAATTGATATCAATAGAGATGAACTATTTGCTCAGGAGGTGGAGAAAATTAATGACTTGGAACCATCAGAACAGATTGTTCAGACACACACAGGTGAAAAACTAATTAACAAGTTGATGAATCCCGAAATAAAAATTGATTGAAAATTGAATGGAATTAAATCAATTTTGTTCTGTTGAAATCGTTTTAAATCTAGTAAAATTGGCATTCGAATTCTGACTAAATTGATTTCACTAACAATTAATTGATTACATTTACTGAATTTTTTCCCGAGTACATTCTTCAATTAATGAACTCTTCATAGAATGAAAGAATAGTATTTTTCAAATAATTGCTTTCATTAGTGAATTGAGACGAACTATTTGATTAGGAGATCGACAGAATTAATTATGTGGACTTGTTCCTAATTCAGAGTCACATTCCATGAGTGACATCAACTCATGGATTGAAAATTGAATGGAATTGAATCAATTTTGTTCTATCGAAATCGTTTTAGATCTAGTGAAATTTGCATTCGAATTCTGATTAAATTGATTTCACTGACAATTAATTAATCACATTCACTGAAGTTTTTAAAAATAACATGCAATTACTGAACTCTTCACAGAATGAAAGAGTAAAGTTAATTTTTTTCTCAATGACTTCTTCAATTAATGCTCCGTTCACAGAAAAAAGAGATTGAATTAAGTTTTTTAATTAGTAAATTGATATTTACTCATCCATTTTACTAAATTTGTAATTTTAAGTTTATAATTTATTGTTTTTTTAGCTTATCCCTGGGCTGCGTCTGCAGAAATCCCTCGATCAGAGTGGAAATATCCCCTGACCCCAGAGGATAAATTCAAATGCAGAGTATTCAGGGATCTGTGGTCCAAGGGACTGTACGTGACTGGCGGGGAAAAATTCGGTGGAGACTTCCTCGCATATGCAGGTAGGAAAAAATCTAAATAAAAAATTTACGTAGCAAATTGTCGAAAAAGCCTTGAAAATGTCTTAGAAATAACTAGATGCAGGAGGCAGCGATCAGTCGACAATCATTACATTTGTAATATTTTGTAAAACTATTAGAATTTGCACCTTTCTATTACTGTGATTTTATTATCTTACTTGAAATTTGAAAATATTAAAATAATTCATAATTTAAATTTTCTATTAAGGCCCAGCTGTGCTATCTTTCATTTTCGTTTTTTCATCTTTCGTCATCTGAAATTGTCAATTAAGTCCTGCATGATGCAGAAGTTTTGAAAAATTATGAATGAATAACAAAAAAAAAGTAGAAAAAATTATTAATTTTTTCAAAGAACATTTTTAATTTATATTCAGAATAAGTTGAATAATAAGAAATTGAAAAATGTATCTGATTTACGGTGACAAATGGCGATCTGTCACCCAATATCATGCAGGGGGAAGACTGATTTCGTAAATCTTTTTGCACATCGCACAGAGACATTTATGACGAAAAAGGCTCTTTGAAAAAAGTTGTAATATTTTTGAGAATTTTTTAATCACACTTTTATCACATAAAAATGGCAGATGACTACATACCACTGTTTTGAAAATTGTGATACCTAGCTATCACTTCCCATGAGGAGTTAGTGTTGTGTTATCCACCATGGAAAATGACAGCTAATAGATAATTAGCCACAGCGAATCAGATATTTGTAATTTCCACTTTTTTCAACTCATTCTGAATTTCAATTAAAAACGCTCTTTGAAAAAGTTCATAATTTTTTCCATTTTTTTTATCGTTCTATCATAATTTTTGGGAATTTCTACATGATGTACCACTCAATTGTCAATTTTGGATTCCGAAAGATGAAAAAAATCCAGATAACATTCGAAAGATAGTACACCCGGGCCTTAATTTGGTAATTGAAAATTGTTGGGTAATATCATCAGTTAACAGAAGCTAAATTTAACTTATTTCGAAATTATTTTATATTTCACTGCAGCAAATGAATAATCTACTTCAATTTTCAGGTGACCCCATAATGTTTCACTCGCAATTCGTCGTCTACTGCAGAAGACGAGACGAGGAAATGACGATTGCTGATTTGACTGGGCATTGTCGTCTCTCAACAACTGTCAGAAAGACTTGTGTTTTCGCTTATTTGTCCGAGGACGAGAGGAAGATTCGTTATCAGTCCTTCTTCTGGGAGAATGCAGCTGCCAACCCATTTTGACTTTGATAAATCATCAAAATTATTCACGAAACTAATTAATTAATTAACGATACAGTTTAAATGATATAATTCTAAGTTGATAATTTCTTTATCAAGTTTTCATTCAACTGATAATTGAATCATCCAAAATTATGTGCGAGTAACTTTAAGTTGATAGTTTTGATAATGAATTGAAAATATTAAAGGAATAAAGAAGCGACTGGAATTTAGGAGGACTTTTCAATTTTATTTAATTACTAATTACAAATTTGATAGGTTTTTTGAGGTTTTTAATCATTATTATGGATTAAATGGCGTCAACAAGCTTGAAGCGGTCGTGTTGCTTCTCTGGGATGACGTTGAAGTGTTTTTTGTAGATGGTCTGGCCCTCTCGACCGCTGTAGCACCTCTGAATCCACGTGTGATCCCAGTTGAGGTCGACTTTCTCACATGTTACAACTACTCTTCCAGCTTCCATGGCGAATAACGATCCATTTCTACCGAAACCGACCTATGGACGAGCGAAAGAATCTGTTCAATTTGATGGCGGAAAAAAAATTGAGGAACTAATTTTGAAAATTTAAGCTTTTGAACAATACTTTGATGAGGACTAAATACGTCGACCTAAAATTTATAATCAATTGTTTCATTTTTTTCAATTGCGTCAAATAGTCGTCTTTCGGCTGTTTCATTTGGCCCCACTCTCCCTTATGAAATAAAGGGAGAGGACATGATGGAGAACTCACGTGAAGACCTGGATGGAATCTAGTGTTCATCTGTGTTGCCAGGATATGTCCAGCTTGGACGTAATGACCATCTTGCACCTTCCACCCTCTGTGCTTAGGTTTTCTGCAATTACCTCCTCGATTTTTAGTCGTTGTTCCTGCCTTCTTCGCTGCATTTCTCACAGTAACTGCGACCAAACGACATTTATTTTTGGAATTTAATTTCTGGGGAATGAGATGCCGGTGGTTTTAGGGGGATGAATATTAAAATTAGCCGTTCCTCCATCACTCATTCTTTCAAAAGTTTAGAGTCAATTACAAAAACAAGAAATAGAAAAATTCCACGTACTCTTCAACATCATTTGTTCTTTTAATAATATCTCTAGAAGGAATGCCTGTAGGAAAAAATTACAATGGACATTTTTTGTAGGAAATTTCCTCTTCTTCAAGACATCTCTTATGACATTTTCCTCTAAATCCATTAATTCCTTAGATATTCCCAAAAAACTGGAATTGAAACAAAATAAAAAATTCCATAAATTCCCCAACATCACTGATTCTTTCATCAACATGGAAAACATCAGAGGAAATTTTCAGCAGAACATTTTCTTCACTATAAGAAATTTTTTTCTAAATCCCCCAGTTGAAGAGATATTTCCAAAAGTTTAGAGTCAATTACAAAAACAAGAAATAGAAAAATTCCACGTACTCTTCAACATCATTTGTTCTTTCGATAATATCTCTAGAAGGAATGCCACTAGCAAAAAATGACAATAGACCTTTTTTGTAGGAAATTTCCTCTTCTTCAAGACATCTCTTATGACATTTTCCTCTAAATCCATCAATTCCTGAGATATTGAACCCAACCCCCAACTCCCTTGTTCACCTGTCCAGTAACCACTCCACTCCTCTTTAATTAACCTAAAAAACCAGATCCTCACCGATTTGTTCGCTCGATGCCCTCAAAAGACTTGATTTAACACCGTTGACTCCCGAAACCAGCAGCTGCGAGACCATCGACATCTTCCCCTCGAAACCCTTCACCAAAGGTTCTGCAAAGTCCTTGAAAAATCAGTTTTCACCCGCAAAAACATGAAAATGTTTTGGACCCTCCTGAGAGACTTCAAATAAGGCTTCATCCCCATCAGAGCACATCAGAGCCTCGACTTCACATGAGAGAATTTCCACAGCGAATTGCAAAGGCGGCCTGAGGCAGCCAAAATATTTACATCGTTTGCATCATTCGAGGGGGTGAATTTTTTGTTTTTTAAAATGATAGACGGCAACATATCAATGGAGGAGGACACAGAATTGAGGGATTTGGTCGTGCAAACACTGGAGAACAACGGAGTCCTCGCTAAAGTACGAGTAAGTACCCCAGAGCCTCTTAAAAATTGAGTTTTCCAATTTGAGGTTATGAACTGGCACATATGAGCCCCTAAAATTCTACTCGATCGTTACTTGGGGTTCGAGGGATTTTTTATGAGTTTTGTGGTAATTTTTCAGGCGGAATTGAGGGCCAGTGTCTTCCTGGCGCTCGAGGAGCAGGAGTCTGTTGCGGTGAGATATGAATATTGTTATGAGGGCTTGGGGAATCCTGTGGAGAAGTGTGGAAGCGGATAAAAATAAATTGTTCAAGAAGAATTTTGTAAAATTTCGTATTTTTAGTTTTTTTATTGCGCTTTTTTTCCTGTCAGATGAGATACTCCTTTCTTCAGTTAATTGTTTATAATCATTTTCATTTGCAAAAAGCAATACGAACCATGAGAATTATATGTCCCAATTCATCAGCTGCTAAATTTTCATATTACAATAAATAATTTGCTCATGTTCTAATTCCTATGCTCACTGAATAAGATTTTAATCATAATTACAATTCAATTCCTTCTAGAACAGACTTTAGAGTGTGAATTTCTGGAATTCAATGTTTGTTGATACTCTGGTAAAAGTGCGTGCCCACACTGTTATCAATTTTTAGTTAGTTCACACGGTAATTCAGTTAATCTGTTGTTCATCTCATCAATATAATTCCGTGCTTAGAATATTGTCATCTCGTGTTATCAGCACCAAATTAAAAATTAA